ATAAGGAAAATTTTCATTCTGCTGCAGGATATTGATTGGAGACAGCGGCTTGCTCTTCAACAAATCAAACCTTTGTTGACAAAAGAGGCAAGTTTTCAATTTTTTAAATTTTGTTATTAAGTATAGCATTCTCCTTTCGGTCTGCAATGAGGATAAATTTCTTACTCTTAATTAAACATGCATACTTTTCAGGTGATTGACATCATCAAAGCCAGTACTGATGATTTAGGACCTCTCAGTCTTGATTCTCTTAGAAAGAACAATTTGTCTGCCTCATGGAAATTTGTTGGGCAAGAAATTGTAGCCAAGAAAAGTGCAGCTGATGCACAGGTCTGGATTTTTTGTATTTTTGTTACTAAAACTGTCTCCTGAAAAATCACGTAACTAGCAAGATACTAATTTTGTTATCTCTTTTGATGTATCGCAGGTAAATAAGCCGAGTCAGGTAGCTGCAGCAGATTCCAAACCAGAAATCACCAGAGGCAAACGTGATGGTCCTGTTGATGGTAAATAGCTTGTTACAGATTTTGATGATAAATTTAGTGCCTCATGCACATATTAATAATCAAAGACTTATTTTTCAGGGGATCATTCCCAGTTTGTGGATTCAACTGCTAAGTTTGCCAGAAGGGTATGTATGATTATCGGCCGATTTAGACTCACGTTGACTTTATTTACTTCTGATATTAACATTTGGAGGCTTGCCTTGTGTCTATGAATAACTGAGTTTTAACTATTTTTCAATCTGCGCTGCAGCAATTGCGAGAGAGAAGACGTGAAAAGCGTGCTGCTGATTTAGTGAAACGGGATGATGATGTGACTGTGAAGCTTGAAAATGCTGCCATCGAACGGTCCAAGTCAGTTGACTCTTCTGTGCTGGGAAAGTACAGTGTATGGAGGAAAGAAGCTGATAATGATAACACTGATTCAACAGTGCGCTTGATGCGAGATCAAATGATTATGGCAAGGGTGTACATAAGCATTGCAACAATGAAAAAAAAACTGGATTTGGCCCATGACTTACAGGCTCGGCTTAAAGAAAGTCAGCGTGCATTAGGTGATGCAGGCTCGGATGCTGATCTAACACGCAGGTGCTTTTTATTGACTATTTTGCATGCTTGATCAACTTTCTTTTTTTTCTCTGCATCATATAGTGGAGAGTAACACATTCATGTTCACTTGTTCAATAGTGCACATGAGAAAATGAAAGCTATGGGCCAAGTGCTATCTAAAGCTAGAGAGCAGCTCTATGATTGCAAGCTCGTGACAACGAAACTGAGAGCAATGCTGCAATCTGCGGATGAGCAAGTCAGAGGGTTGAAGAGGCAGAGCACTTTTTTGAGCCAATTAGCTGCAAAGACTATACCGAATGGGATTCACTGCTTGTCCATGCGTTTGACTATTGATTATTATCTCCTTCCTCCTGAAAAAAGAAAGTTCCCAAGAAGCGAGAATCTGGAAAATCCTGATCTCTTCCATTATGCCCTATTTTCTGATAATGTTTTGGCTGCTTCAGTCGTTGTCAACTCAACTATCGTGAATGCTAAGGTGAGTTCTGTTTGATATTTCGGAGACCATCATCCACATTTGCCTTTAAGCTTTAAAGATTGTGTTGTGTCTGAGAGAAACTGTAAGTTGCTTTCTGGCTTGTTACTTGTTGGTGCATTACCACTTCCTTCCAATTCATGATAACTATCACCAATTGTCAAAAACATGCTATAGTTGGGGTACCCTTGAACATATTTCGCTGCCTTGCATGTTTCTGTAGTTCATCACCTATACTTTTGGCTTTAATGAAATTAGCACTATGTTTGTAGCGGGTATTTGAAGATGTGAGTTGATATTTTGCAGGAACCAGAGAAACATGTCTTTCATCTAGTCAGTGATAAATTGAACTTTGGAGCTATGAACATGTGGTTTTTGTTGAACCCTCCTGGAAAAGCTACAATCCATGTTGAGAATGTAGATGAATTCAAGTGGCTTAATTCTTCATATTGTCCTGTCCTGCGGCAGCTAGAATCTGCTGCTATGAAAGAATACTATTTCAAGGCTGCTCATCCCAACACCCTATCTGCTGGTTCTTCTAACTTGAAGTACCGGAACCCCAAATATCTTTCAATGCTCAATCACCTAAGGTTTTATCTCCCTCAGGTTTATCCAAAATTGAATAAAATCCTTTTTCTTGATGATGACATTGTTGTTCAGAAAGACTTAACAGGATTGTGGTCAGTTGACCTTCATGGGAAAGTGAATGGTGCAGTTGAAACCTGTGGTCAGAGTTTTCATCGTTTCGACAAGTACCTAAACTTCTCAAATCCTCATATTGCTAGAAACTTTGATCCAAATGCCTGTGGGTGGGCATATGGCATGAACATGTTTGATCTCAAGGAGTGGAAGAAGAAAGATATAACGGGCATTTACCACAAGTGGCAAAACATGGTAAGAATTCTTGTTACCTTTCCATTCGTCTTATATAGCTGTACTTGATATTTGAGTTCTTCCTAAGTTGGATTTTGGTTCTCTTCTACCTTTGCATTAGAATGAAGACAGGGTCCTCTGGAAACTGGGCACTCTACCTCCAGGGCTTATCACATTTTACGGGCTCACACATCCACTAGACAAGTCGTGGCATGTGCTTGGTTTGGGATACAATCCAAGCATTGATCGATCAGATATTGAGAATGCAGCTGTGGTCCATTACAACGGTAACATGAAACCGTGGTTGGAGTTGGCAATGACAAAGTACAGGCCATACTGGACCAAATATATAAAATTTGACCATCCTTACATGCGCAGCTGTAAACTAAGTGAATGAAGGTTCAACGTAGGCAAGCAGTACACACGAGTTGATCTACTCTCGCCTCACCTTCTCTGTAACAAACTGGTCACATATCTATAATTTGACTGTGACCGATGAGTAAGAGCTCTTCTATAGCACATTTGTCCTGTCCCCTTGGCGCAAATGTCACTTAATTCTTTATTCTTCCCCTCCCTGTGAGTCAAATATATAGGTTCATTTTACAATTTCTGCTGTCTGATCCCTCATCCCCCATCTCTTGTAATCATTCCCACTCTGTGTTTTGGAGCTAATGCTCAGTTAGGTAAGTAAACAAAGAGTTTGTAATTTTATTTACTCTTAGCGTATTCTTTGAACATCAACTGACTTATATTCTAGAATTAAATCCAAATTTTATACAAATAACGACTATATCTTGTGTGGTTAACGTACAAAACACAAATTTTCTCGAATCCAAAGTGCAAATAGAATATGAGAAGGTGACCATATATTATATGTGTCTATGTAATATAAAGTATGCTACGTATTTGCATATGTCACATCTTCTATGGTTCATAAAAGTTGCATATGTGAGGTAACATGGGCTGTTGCTCTCTTTCTGTGAATTTAGTACAAGCCACTCATATAAATTTACTGCTCCATCCTTCACCTCAAGTTACTCTAAACTTTTAAGGTTCTCCAAATGAGTTCAATAATTTGTTAGTATAAAAATAAATTTACATTGTCGATGTATATAAATTTTAACTCGATATAAGTATGTGCATGTATGACTGAGTGAACCTGATTGATTGACTAATATTTGACATATTGTATGCCCACGGAAGATTTTTCAATCATAAAAAGCATTATAATACAACATCATTATGATTGTGTTGACAAAACGTGTTAGCATTATATGGCTAGATATAACATGCTCAATACCTTGTTCATAGAACAGATTGGACAATAACTTTACAATGATGTGAACTTTATGGGGGGAGAATAATCAAATCTACAATAATAACATTGAATAAATTTTTTTTTGGAACCTAATGGCATATAGCTAGAGGACACTGATAAGTAGTACTATATAAAGATGTCGTATTAAGTAAGAGTATTTACGAGAAGGAGACAATAAATTTGAAATATTCATTTTTAAAATAAATTTATATTATTTAACTACAGTATATACAAATCGCTACTATATATATTTGGCTAAGTGGATGGATTAGATGGGTATCTTAAAAAGTGAAGAGAATGGACAAGTGAAGAATATTCAAGTTAGTGAGAACGACGCAACAGTGGCAATATTACTTGCTTTTATATCCAACTTCTCGATTTCTCCAATGAAACTCACTTGTCTTTTTTTACCTACCACTTGTGTGTGTTTGGTAACGACGTTGAGTATTTTTTATGAAAAATGTTTTTTTTAATTAAATTTTCAGTGTTCGATGGAAAAGTAAAAATATAAAATATTTATATATATATATAGGATGGGGTAGGGTGTGGGGACTGAGAGGTGGAGGGTGGGATGGTCAAGGAGTTTGGGGATGTTGGGTTGGTAAGAAAATACGATAAACATTTTTTTTATAAAATTTGTTTTTTCTATTTCTATTAAAAAATTCATTTTTTCAAAACTTATTGTTGTTGAAAAAATGTTTTTCAAAATTTTTGCGTAACTAAAGATTTGAAAAAAAAGAACTGGAACACGTTTTTCTCCTTACCACATTATGGAGAAGATTGAATTTATTTTATAGTTGTATTAATGCTTGTATCCACTAACATGAACGTCAATAGTTTTTTTTGTGTACAATTTAACGTGTGCATAAGACTATATCTGTGTCTTCCTTCTTAATTTTTTTTTATATGTTACTAATTTTACTTATTACCATATCTTTAGATACCATTAAGGTTGACCTTGTATGGAGAATTTTTTACCTAATAAATGGGGATAAACTTAGTCGATGAAAATATATTTTTTAATATGTTTGAGTTATATTATACTGAATCATACACATACATAGTACTTTATGTACAATGAATTTATTTATTAATATGAATTTAATAAATATGATACATAAATTAGTAACATACAGGGATTTCCCTGATTCCTCTCAAAATCAACTGTTAGAATCCCCACATCTCTATATAAAAATATAGTTATTACAACATGATCTACTTAAAAAAAAAAGGTTCATTTTAACAAACACTCTTCCAATGATTTCTTCATCATTTCCAATAACAACAACAACAAAAATAATGCATGATGAAAGACAAAATGATGAAGAAACATCTCTTGTGTTTGATTTCCTTGCAAACAATTCAAACATTCCTCCACAATTCATATGGCCAGATGATGAAAAGCCATGCCCTCAGCCACCACCCCTATTACATGTTCCTCCAATAGACTTGAATGGCTATCTCTCCGGTGACCCCCTCGCGGTATCCAATGCCACTCGTCTTGTTAATGAGGCATGTCGAAAGCATGGCTTCTTCCTTGTTGTTAACCATGGTATCGATACGAAGCTCATCAATGAAGCTCACAAGAATATGGATTTCTTCTTTGGGAAGCCACTTGTTGAAAAGGAAAAAGCAAAGAGAAAAGTTGGTGATTATTGTGGTTATGCTAGTAGCTTTACTAGTAGGTTCTCTTGCAATCTTCCTTGGAAAGAAACACTTTCTTTTAGATATTCTGCTGAGTTACCCTTTTCACATCATATAGTCCAAAATTACATCTTGAATGTCATGGGACAAGAATACACTCATTTTGGGTAAGATAATTTGGTCACCAAAATCATATATATGCATTATCATTCTTTAAACATAATTGTTTGCTACATATTTCAAAAATTAATAGATCATCAATACACTATACAAATTATGTGAGACTTGTTTGATGTGTCACATTTTTTTTAGGTTCACTTCCTTAATTCAACTTTTCTTACTAGTACATGTTTGTTACTTGTAGGGATGTGTACCAAAAATATTGTGAAGAAATGAGCAAGCTTTCCCTTAGTGTGATGGAGCTATTAGGTGAGAGTATTGGAGTGGGAAGATCATATTTTAGAGAGTTTTTTGAAGAGAATGATTCAATAATGAGATTGAATTACTACCCAATTTGTCAAAAGCCAGATTTGACTCTAGGGACAGGACCTCATTGTGATCCTACTTCCTTAACCATTCTTCATCAAGATGATGTTGGTGGCCTTGAAGTCTTTGTGGATGATAAATGGCACTCTATTCCTACTAATACTAATGCCTTTGTGGTCAACATTGGTGATACATTCATGGTAAGTACAAAAATCAAGTAAAGGATTTCACTTTTGTACATATTTCAACATGTTGTGGTAATATGCCCTATAGTAATTTTCATGAATAGTTGCATAAAATTATCTTTTTGACGACCTGATAGTATAAAAGTTATCGTTAAGTCATGTTTAGATCAAAGTTCAACTCATACATAAAAGGGATAGGAAGGATCATATTATAGCTTTCACAACCACACAACAATACAAAATACATGTAACTCAATATATAAGAAGCATGGAAGTACATATTTTTTGGTACCAAAAGAACAACATGAAAGACAAATGCATGGTTTACATTAAAAATATTATATATCATTAATGTGATGTAATTTTGTAATGTGAAATTATTATTCAGGTAATGTCAAATGGTACATACAAGAGTTGCTTGCACAGAGCAATTGTAAACTGTAGAAGAACAAGGAAGTCATTGGCATTTTTCTTATGTCCAAAACAGGACAAGATAGTAAGCCCACCAAAAGAGTTGATTACTAAGAATCTACCAAGGAAGTTCCCTGATTTCACATGGCCACTTTTTCTTGAATTCACTCAAAAACATTATAGAGCTGACAAAAATACTCTTGATGCCTTTGTCCATTGGCTTCTACACAAAACCTAGCTCCTACACACATAATAATATATACTATCTCCTTTTATTTCTATTTGTACTATGCTAAGGTTTGAACTTTAATTTTTACCAACAAGAAGAGAACAATTACAATGGGGAATATAATCTTAGTAGCTCAGCTGGTTAGCTACTTGAATTTTCACCTTGTTGGTGACAATTCGATTCTACACATTGTAATCCCCTACCCCCAATTTTATGAAATAAAAATTACTCCTATCCAAAGAGAATCTTGTTGTAACATATATACTACCAATGATTTGATAAGCTAGCTTATAGAGATTATTATATATATGTGTGTGGCTTTTCATCTTTTCCTTTGTCCCTTTGGTTGAGTATTTCCATATGTGGTGTCAAAACAATCAACTTTTTTTTTTTATGATATGATAAGCGAGGAGTGATCAAATACGAATTTAGAATTTTAAATTTGTGGATTTTCTTATATAAATAAATTAATATGCAATAATATTTGGACAAAACTGCTGGAAAAAAGTAAGGTAAAAAAAAGTATGAGAAATTGAGTTTAAAAAAATGTTCCTATAGAGATTGAAGCCCATAGTGGGCAGCATAAAGTAACTTCGATGGGTCCTTCATTGACACAAGATCAACCAACAATTTAGTTTGTGGGTTCCCATCAATAAATACTTATACCTTTAGTAATTTTTTAAATATAATTATAGAGTTTCAAAAAAAAATTAAGAGTTTTTGATCATTCGTATCTGTTACAATAGATCCGTCTTTGGCCAAGATAATTAAATGATGATCATGTGGAGTTTATACATCATTGACAAGTATGTATGCTAATTGGATAGTCACTTTTTTTTATGACAAATTAAACAAAAAAATTCATGATCAAACGCTTATTATAGTTTTGTTTTTAAAAAAATAACAATGTCCTATTCAATATTGGAAAGCTAAATGCCTTTAGGGGACCATTCTTCACTTTCTATTTGCTATTAGGGATATGACAAATTATAAATCTTACATCTTTTTTTGTAGGTTCATGCATTACTTCTATTTCATATTCGAAATAACAAAGTATGTTAGTTGTGCTTTTTTGTTTTGCAATCAAGTAGTGGGAACTTCAATATTCCAACTGTCTAACCCTAATGAAATAACTTGAAGTGAAATGACTTAACTTTAATTTATATGATAAAAAGGCTAAAGTTTGTGGTGAAAAGCATCTTGAAGAGTATAATAATAGACAAGAAATTTCGAGAGAGAAAATCATATCTTAGGAAGATGAAAAGGTTCCACTTCAATTCCATCATATGAATTTGACTACATAAAAATAACATAAAGTTTTGCAAGAGGGCCAGTTACTTTGCTTCATGTGACACAATATTCTTCAATTGACCAACACCACCTCTATATATATATACTACATGATTTTTATATGCTTAATTCGATCTTTCAAGTGTTTGGTTGTCAATAATGACACGTATTGTTTAATATGCTTCAGAAGTATGTGTATTCATGTGAACTTGTTTATCCCTTATAAAGCTTAACTGGTTAATTAGAAGGTTGTCAGTTGTTTTCCCTTATAAGAGATAATCGTACAGAATAGCAAATTAATAATTTAAAATAAATAGAGTAGCTAATGTTTGATTTAATTGCGCCCCATACTAAACGTTTGTCAGTCGTCTCTTTCCCTAAACTCTCGCTCGCCACTCTTCCTCTGCTCGCCTCTCTCGCTTTATAGAACAGAAGTGTATAAATTGTGTTTCTGTTTTGTATAAAGCGAGAGAAAATTGTATATACACATACAAAAACATATATCTTCGTTCTATACACTTAATTATACAATATACAAACATTTTACTTCGATTCAATTGTAAACAAATGTAAATTTTATACAGATATTGCAGCGAAATAGGCCAGCGAATTATACAATTGCAACGAAATAGGCCAGCGAATTATACAACTGTAGTGAAATAGGCTAGCGAATCATACAATTGTATATGTATAGCGAATTATACGTTTATATGTTTGCTATGAAACACAATTATGTAAATTTTGTTATAACACACAAATATAATTTTTTTATTTGCTATATGGAAATTTTCCTATTTATTACCCACTCTCCTCCGATTCTGCTTAATCCTTATGGATTCAGTATCATCGCTGAGGTTTTGTTCTACCATAAATGGAACCAAGGTAGTGTTCATATATAGCCAGTAATAATCTTGCAAGTTTATGACAAATAAAGCAATCATTTATCTTATAATTAATCATGTTAGAAAGATGTATAAGTTCAAAAATATCAAGTGATTATATTATACTATTAAAAAGAAACATTGCATGGGAAGTTATTCTATAGACAAAATGCATCTTTCTTTATTTAGATTTTTATACCTTGATGATATAATATATAGTAATTCAATATACTATTTTTTACCTTGATATAACATAAATGATGATCAACATATATATTCCTACACCAAATATGTCTAATTACGTACTTATTTATCCACCTTTTATTTCTAAGTGATTTTTTGTGATCTCAATAGACTTTTACACTCTGAAAAGGATACCTTCTCTCATTTGGAAACTGTATTACTAAATCAACAACAAAAGAATAACTACAATAAAAACAGCTTTTAGCAGCATCAAATATTGACATTATTAAAGAATACTAAAGTCTTTATCGGCATTAGTTAAGTGTCATTAGAATCAATATCGCTAAAGACTTTAGGAAAATATTTAGCGGCAAGTAAGAATTAATTGCCACTAATGATCATTTTTTATGTAGTGAATGCCACAAATTTTCAATTTCCTTCTTATCGAAAATTGCTAATCCGTAACATGTCACAAGAAAATTCTGAATTTTTGATAGATTTCTGATAAAAACATACCTTAAAATTTCTAATTAAAAATGAATTACTTAAAAAAAAATTAAACAACTATAAAAAAGATTTTGAACATCTTTAATTTGTTAACCTTCTGAAATACTTTGTTAATGGACTAATGCATGAGGTCCGTTGAGTTAGAAGCAGACAATTATTGATATGGAATTTCCTTTTAAAAAAATTAATTAACGGTTGGACATATTAATGCAATAATTCAGAGAAACAAACAAGTAAAACTGCACATAACCTTAAATTAATAATGTCAATTTTAATATAAAGTTTTTGAGTTTTGACAAGGTATAAAACAAAGATGAAGATGTTTGTTTGTAACTTTCATCAAAGACTAGAATTAAGACAGACAAAATGACACACAAAGAATACAATTACAGATTGAAATATAGATACATGAAGCTTCTTCTTTGAAATTAAAACACTTCCTAAAAAAGAGTTAAAAAAATACTTTTCTTATGGAGATTAAAAATTGTTCATTTATATATTTTCATTTCATCAAATATTTTATTGAAATGTCTAGGAGGCTAGAGGGAAAGGTTCTGTTTATATGAGTGATACTTAGAAGATTCTTTAATCGCGAGTTTGAGTTTGATTAATCCAAACAAATAAATAGGATAATAATTTATATTTATAGTGACTAGGTCAAAAAAAGTGTTAAAATAATTAAAATAAGAAAGATAAATGTAATATTATAAATTTGAAAAAGTGAAAGCAAAATTGGTAGGAGGCTAGAATAAGATTCTAATTAACTCATTTTTTTTCTTGATAGATCTATTATTTTAGGGATAATTGTATAGAATGACAAATTATATAAAATAAATATAGTAGTTATTCTTTGATTTATTTGTGTTTCATAGCAAACTGTTTATTAGTCCTTCTCTCCCTCATATTTTCGCTCGCTTATTCTTGTCGCTCGCATCTCTCGCTTTATACAATAGAATTGTATAAATTGTGTTTCTAATTGTATAAAGCGGGAGAAAATTGTATAAACGCATGCAAATAGATATATTTTTGTCCTATACACTTATAATTATACAATATAAATATTTCCCTGCCCAAATCTCTTTTGCCTTTCTCGTTTTATACAAATTTAAATTGTATATAATTTCTCTCTTTCTCGTTTTATACAATTCGATTCAATTGCATATTCCCTGCACAAGTCTCTTTTTGCCTTTCTTTCTTTCTCGTTTTATACAAATTCAAATTGTATATAATTTCTCTCTTTCTCGTTTTATACAATTCAATTCTGCCTTTCTCGTTTTATACAATTCAAATAGTATATAATTTTTCTCTTTCTCGTTTTATACAATTCGCTTCAATTGTATATGTATAACGAATTATACATATATAAGTTTGCTATGGAGCACACTTATGGAAACTTTGGTATAACATACAAATATAAATTTTATGTTTGCTATATGTGAAAGTTGCCCTTTTTTTTATATTAATTTGCATCAAGCCCTTTTTATATATTAATTTGCATTTAAGTCCACATTCTATGTATAACATGATTTTACTGGAAGCAAACTTTTAATCCAAACAAATCTTTATTCTATTTATGTAATGTACACGTATATTTTGCTTTCGTTTACTACGTCATAACTCTATAAAAGAATGGATTTAAATGGATGATAAAGACATAAATTTCAAAAATTATTTTGCTTATTATACTCTTTCCTTTATGATGAAATGAATACACTAAAAAAAAAAGTCTAAATAACGAAAATTTATTTTACATATTGTGGGGGTTGGGAACCCCTATAGTTTGTTGTATCAGAGGTTTCAGCAACCCCCAGAGTTAGATTTGCCATAATTAAGTTGTGGGGTGTTTTCACCAACCCCTGTAACAAGCAGCGAGGTTATTTTGTAACAATTTAAATTCCCGCAAATTGATTTGTAAAAACCTACCATTTAAGTTCCAGGGGTCACAATCTCTGATAGTAATAACAAAATAGCAAAGATCGAAACCCCCACACTTCATGAAAATATTAATCATCTTCCGAATTTATTTTATTTTTGCCATCAATAGAATAGTGTCTAGAGCTAATTAAGTCAATGATACTGCTGCAAGTAATAAAAAGCTACGGTATAAAAAGTAATAAATAATCCAACAAGCTATTATGTGCACTACTGATATCATGCAAGTATCGATAATGATAGAATTAAATTAGTTTTTTTAATTTTATTTATTTGTAGGGTCTATTTTATATGAAACAAATAAAAAATAATGATAAATTTTGTTTAATGATTTTACTAACATAAATGTTTAAGTTGAGTGATTTTTTTGATACCTAACAAACTTTAATGACTTTGTTAGATCAATACCTAAAGTCGGTAATTTTATTGATTATAAATTTAAATTGAGTGATTTTTTCGATACAAAACAAATTTTAATGACTTTGCTAGGTCT